GGAGAATGGAGGAGAAGGGATTGTGGCGTGGCCATGCCCCCCCGAGGGGTGATTTTGCACTTTCTGTCTCTCTGCCTCTGTCTTTCTGGCGAGCGTACACACCCTATAGCAAAAACCTCAAAAAAAAAAAAAAAAAAAAAAACTAAGGAGGAAAAAAAAGTCCTTCATCAAGACAATCTCCTTCATGTTCATTCCTATCTTCAAACAAAGGTAGTTTTGTAAGAGTTTTGAATGTAAATCATTAGGCATACACCTTAGAGTCATTATTTGGTTCCTCATTTTTGTTTCCTCATCTTAAAAACAAACCTTTAGAGGACGCCCACCTTCAGTCAGTCATGTAGACAGTCTAACAGTGGCACCGACTCCTGGCCCTCGGTTCACTAGGGACAGACTGAATGGCTTGTATTGTCGCTATGAACGCATCTTGGACTTGATGGAGCTCGTGTTGAAAAATATCCTTTGATCCCGAACGAGCCCCCAAGGAAAAAAACAAAACAAAACAAAAATATCGTTTGTATCTTTAAATACGATTTTTTCATGAACTTTTTGATGACATACAAAGAATTCCTACAAATGAAGGAGCAAAAGGCACATATCCAGTAGGAAAATGGGTAAAAGACTTGAAAAAAGACAGTTCATAAAATAGCCAAGTGGTCAGTAAGAATATAAAAATATGTTCAATAACACAAGTCACCAGAGAAATGTGGGTTAAAACTATCATGAAGGTCAGTCTCTCAGTCTGGTGATTAAGGGCAGCCAGATTCCACATGGCTCACAGTGGTTCAAATCCCAGCCCCAGCTGCTTGAAAAATGCACCAAGCACACGTGTGCATGACCAAAATCAGGACAGGGTGGAGAGATGAAGGAGAAGGGAGTGCAGCATGACCACACCCCACTGTGAGATGCCCCCTCCAGGTACTTAAAAAGAAAAAACTCTAACAGGGTACCATCATGCCTCCATCAGAATGGCTAAACTTGAAACGTACGATAATACCGAGAGCTAGAAAGGACACAGAACAACTGAAACTCTTGCTCGCTGCTGGTGGGATTGCCGTGGAACATTTATATGCTAGTGCCCTGGCCGGTTCGCTCTTGAGTACGGACCCAGGAGAAACAGGTGAGCGTGTACACGGACTTCCACGAGAAGTTACAGCAGCTTGGCCCAACAGCCACGGGCTGGAAACAGCCTCGATACCCACCAATCAAAGAACAGACGCACCAACCGTAGTATGTGAATAATGGAAAAGTACACTACAATGACAAAGAATGAAATACTGCCATCGGCAGCGATACAGATAAACCTCTCAGACATAATGTTGACGGAAACCCAGTCAAAAAACAATACATACAGTCCAGGCGTGCTGAGGCAGGCAGTGGGTTCCCACTAACAATACCAGAGCCATGCGGAAAGGCTGGGCTTCGGACCCTGGGTTACCCTGGTCATGCTAGGCGTGCCCATGGACATGCCAATGACCCTGGCTGCACGAATGGCTGGGGGGACTGCTGGAACAAGACCCTGTCAGGAGTCACTGTGTGGCATCTGTGTGTATCTATCTCAAGAAACAAAGAAGGAAATAAACTTGGGGGAAAAAGGGTTCATACTATAGGATCCCACTGATAGGCAATTCAGGAACAGTGAAAAGCAATCTGTAACAGAGCTGGATTAATGGTGGTTACCCTGGGAGGGAGGAAGTCCTAGGACAGGCCATGACGGAGCCTTCTAAGGTCTTGATTTGAGTGGTGGTTCCACTGATCCGTACACTGAACATTTGTGCTTTTTACTCTGTATGAGTTATATACCTGACCTCAGTAAAAAAGAGCAACAGTGAGAAAAGTGGGCTGGAGGTGGCGGGTGACTTTCCTAACACCGAATGCAACATTCTCTATGTATTACATTTTTCTTGCAAAACATCCTTGGTTTTTTTTTTTGAGAGGTTTTTGCCATAGGGCGCGTGCGCTCGCCAGATAGACAGAGACAGAGAGACAGAAAGTGAGAAATCACCCCCCAGGGGGGATGGTCACACCGCAATCCCTTCTCCTCCATTCTCCTCTTGGGATCTTAGGCACACACGCACACGCGCCCGGTGTGAGTTTTAAACCACCAGGTCCGGGACGCGAACTGCGGTCGACTACGTGGGAGTCCAGCGACATAGCCATTACGCTAACTGCTGGTCCCAACATCCTTGGTTTTCATGAGATTGTCTTTTAGAATGCTGACTCCTTGAGGGCAGGTATATTATATTCCCACTGCTTGGTACAGAGCAGATACTCAATAGAAAGTTATAGAATACATTTGTTTGTTTGTTTGTTTTGGAGAGGTTTTTGCTATAGGGCGCATGCGCTCGCCAGACAGACAGAAAGACAGAAAGCGAGAAATCACCCCCCAGGGGAGATGGCCACGCCACAAATCCTCCAATCTCCTCTAGGGATCTTGGGAACACACGCACATGCACCCCAGCATGAGTTTAAGCCGCAGGGTCTAGGACTAGAACCACAGTTGACTACATGGGAGTCCAGCAACATAGCCATTATGCCAGCTGCTGGTCCCAACAGAATACATTAGTAAAAGGACATGTTGGGACAGCAAATGGCGTAACAGTTACGTTGCTGAACTCCCATGTAGTTCACTGCGGTATGAGTCCCAGACCCAGTGGCTTAAAACTCCTATCAGGCGCCATGTGTGTACATGCCCAAAAATCCTGAGAGCAAAATGGAAGAGAGAGGACTACAGCATGGTCATCCCCACCTGGGAGGTGATTTGTCGCTTTCTGTCTCTGTCCAGTGAGCACACGCCCTACAGCAAAAATCTTGACTTAAAAAAAAAGGACATGCTAACAAAAATAAGACAGAGATTACTAAAATCTTGGTATAGTAAGTATTTAAACTATTAAAAGTTTATAAAGTAATTGGTGGAGTCTAATGATGGTTACCTTGGTTTCCTCCTTAGAAAGACTAAAACCCGAAGTGAAAATTCCTGTGTGTGTTCAGATTTAAAAGTTACTCTCATTGGGACCAGCAGGTGGCACGGTGGTGAAGGGTGCAGGACTCCCACATGGCCGACCGAGGTTGATGTCCCCGGGCCTGGTGGCTTGCTTTCTCATTCTCTCTCTCTCTCTCTGTGTGTCTCTCAAATTAAATAATAATGTAACAATAAAGTTATATAAAAATAATTTAGATTTTTTTAAGTAAATTTAAAAACTAAAAATAAAAAGTCTCTTCCATCTGTGAGTCACTTTACATTGGGCAACAGGTATTCAGAAACCAAATCAAAGCACTATTATGACAGACCTCAAGTTTGAAGACATATTAGTTCCTTTCAAAAGAACACTGAGGGACCAGCAGATGGAGTAATGGCTACGTTGCTAGACTCCCCTGTAGTCGACCACGGTATGAGTCCCTCACGCCGGGCATGTGTGCGCACGTGCCCAAGATCCCAAGAGGAGACTCGAGGAGAGGAGACTGCGGCATGGCCATCCCCACTGGGGGGTGATTTCTCGCTTTCTGTCTCTCTGTCTTTCTGGACAGTGCGCATGCCCTATAACAAAAACCTCTAAAATAATTGAGGCAAAAATAAATGAAATGCGATAGAATTTTCTATCAACTAAACTCATCTATCTAAAACAGTAGTTGTCAACCAGAGATGAGTTTCTCCCCACCCCTGAAGACATTTACCAGGATTTTTGCTTGTCAAAACTAGAAGCACTCCTGGCACCCAGCAGGAGGCAGCCAGGGAGGCGTGGGCTAATCCTCCACAATGTACAGGCCGACTCCACCGGAGAAGGATCCCTCCCAAACTGTCCACAGTGCTGAGATGGGGAATCCTGCTCTAAAACATCACTGGTTAAACTAAAAGGGTTTTTTCTTAAACATACGAAGTGAAGAGTCCTATTGAACCCATAAAATATGTACATATCAACCACTCCTTTTTCAAGAATATGAAAGTGGTGTGGTGGTTAAGGTGGCCTGAGCCCATGTGGCCAACTCCGAGATATGAGTTCCAGACCAACGGCCTGAAACATGCCAGGTGACGTGTGTGTGTGTGTGTGTGTGTGTGCGGGGGGGGGGGGGGGCCAAAATTCTGAGAATAGAGGAAAAGGGACTGTAACGTGGCCATCCTCCCTGGGGTGTGTGTTCTCACTTTCCCGCTCACTCTCTATGTCTCTTTCTAGTAAGCTCACATGCCCTATTGCAAATTTTAAAAAAGTAAATATGAAAATTATGTTTTAAAGCTTCTATCAAATGTCATGAAAAGGAGTTTTTAATGCAAGTATCAAAATCTGCAGAAATAATAGCCATCATTATTTCTAGGACTTTCTTAGGCATACTACTTATCTATCTCGTTTAATATTAAATCCTCATCAAAGTAAGATTTTCATTATACAGATCAGAAAACAAAACTCAAGAAGATTAAACACATACCTGCTCAGGCGTACGCCACTAGAAACGACAGAGCTGAGATCAGAACCCATATTATCTCTAAACCCATGATGCTCCCATTAAAATGCATGACATCTGAATTTCAACTGGGAGGCTGACCAAAATGAAAAGCATCTCAAGTTTCATTTCCCACCGAATCAAATCTGCCACTTTATAAAGTGGATGAACAGCAAAACCAGTAGCAGCTACTTACGCACTAAATGGCATGTAGAAAGGAGATTAGACAGTGCCTGTTTTTAGAAGGATAATCTACAGTTAAATTTTTCTTATCACAAATTGAATTAAGAAGTTTTATAAAGTTAAATACCAGAATCACTGGGCATGCTCCCATTCCGGTCAGTTACTGAGAGTAATACTCAAGCCTAATCACTTACTGGTCTGGAGCTTAATCTTGACAAATGACCAACACAGCCTACTTATTCATCCTTGTGTAATAACGTTAGATTTCTGGCTGAAGCTCATCTAAGAAAATACGCCTATATTAAATTGTGTCTATTATTTTCATCTCAACATTAATGGCTTCTCATCATTCTTTTCATTAAGAAAACGAAACACGTACTTACCCTACTGAAGCCATGCTCATGAGGGTCATCCACTTCTCCATTACTAGTCACTGGAATTTCTGCTGCTGAATTTTTGGGAGATTCTTGAGCCATGGCAGACTCCTGAAAAAAGGAGGGGGAAAAAGCTGTAACTGTTACCAAATCATAAAAAGCAAATATTCAAAAGACCAAATTCATGTTTATTGCACTTACTTGCCACTATTCTAACACTTTTTTTCATAAATGTAACCTAACACTTTTATAATAAATATAATATTAACACAAAAAAAATGCATCTGGCTCTTTTTTTTTTAAAAAGAATTATTTCATTTTATTTGTTATTATTATTATTATTATTCTTTTCAAATTTGACCAGATAGAGACAGAGAGAGAGAGAGAGAGAGAGAGAGAAAATGAGAAAGCAAGCCACCAGGCCTGGGACTTGAACCATGGCCAGCCATGTGGGAATCCAGCACCCTAATCATCATGCCACCTGCTAGCCCTACATCTGGCTCTTAATTGCACTCAACTTATGTTTCTCAATTAAAAAAACAAGTTATTATAGATAAAAAGACCACAATTCCCCCTCTTAAATAGTGTTATGATAGAACATCATTTACTCTGGAAAAAATATTACAGAAAGCCCAAAGCTTAGTTGTTAGTCCAACTACAGCAGCTGTTTTTGTGTTCAGTCGAATGGGGACCAGACAAATGACAGTAGCAGAACAAAAGGCAGAATCATGCTGATGTTCCAGCAGCTTTACTCCGAACTGTCAAAACCGGAAGCAACCAAGATGCCTCTCACTGGTGGATAAATAAAGTGTAGTACACCCAGAGAGTGGGGCACTCCTCGGTGCTGAAAATTAATAAGCTAAGCAGTCATTAAAAAGTATGGAAGAAAACTGGGTCACCCTGTGGCACAGTGGTTAGGTCCTGTACAGAGGAAGACAGATCTCACATGGCTAACCAGGGTTTGAGTCCTCGTCCAATCAGCTTGAAAAATATCCTCACAGGATGGAGAACTGGAGGGAACGGACTGTGGCACAACCAATGTGGTGGGGGTGGCTCTTTCTCGACCCATTAGGTGGTGCTCTGGTTCTGACTTGCCCTCTCTCTCAACAGGCCCACTGAGGAGTATTCACTTGCTTGGTGTTCTCTCTCACGTGTCCCCTCTGGCATTTTTTAAAAAATTATACGTTGGGACCAGCAGTTAGCATAACGGCTATGTCACTGGACTCCCACGTAGTCGACCGTGGTTTGAGTCCCGGACCTGGTGGCTTAAACTCACGCTGGGCGCGTGTGCATGCGTGCCCAAGATCCCAAGAGGAGAATGGAGGAGAAGGGATTGCAGCGTGGCCATACCCCTGGGGGGTGATTTCTCGCTTTCTATCTCTCTGTCTCTCTCTGTCTGTCTGGTGAGCGCACGTACCCTATAGCAAAAACCTCTCCAAAAAAAAATCAAATGCTTACTGAAAATGAGAGAAGCTGACCTAAAAATCCACGAACTTAGTGTAGTAGTTAAGCACATGTGACCGGCCATGGTTCCAATCCCAGCCCCAGGGCTTAAAACTCACACTGGGGATGTGTGCATGGTTGCCCCAAAGCCTGACGGGATGGAGAAACGGAGGCGAAAGGGCTGCGGCATGACACAGTCGGTCTGGTGCTTCTCTCTCCAGCAGCAGGCTCGCATGCCCTCTGGTCCAAAATAAACACATACGTAAATAAATAAACGCACCAAGTGTGTGGGGAGGAAGCTAGCCTGGAAAAGCTACAGACTAGATGATTCAACCTACATGGTATCCTGAAAAGGCAACATTACGGGGTGATAGATCAGTGGCTGCCAGAGGCCAGGAGAGAGGGCGAGCCCGTATCACTGCACCCGCCAAATGTGCAACACGGAGAGAGCCTTAATGTAAAGAGTGGGGACAGTGACGTGTAAATGTGGGCTGGCTGCTTATGGCAAATGGGAGTCTGACCAGTTTGGGTTCGTGTTTACATACGGCGGAGGGAAGAGCACAGCCTCACTGCTCTGCATGTGGGTCTCCAGTTTTCCCAGCAGTGCTGTCAAGGGACTACCCTTCCTCCACACGGTCTCAGCATCTCGGGTTCTTCTAAGAGTCCCATTTTCCTGTCACTGCATCTTTACGCAACATCCAGATTACTTGAGGCTAATAAGAGGTCCTTCTGCTCCTTGCAAATGACAGACGTACAGACACTAATATCGGTCTCGAAGCCAATCGATAAGACTAAAATGTGGTTATCTAAATAATCATCACAAGTTGAAATTATAACATTATGCTCTTACTTTCTTCTTCTTAAAAAGAAGAAATTATAATATAAATTATAATTATAATACATAAAATTTAAAAAATTAAAAAAAAAAAGTTGGTATTTGCTATATGCCTAGACGGAGTAAATGGGATTAAAACAGAAATGGAAATCAGTTCTTTGCCCTCAGGAACTTAAAAGCAGACAGACAAATAAAAAATCATTACCATGCAGTGAGGTGAGCATGAGGGAAGCACTTGCCACTGGTGAGCACTAAGAGGAAAACATACCAAGTGACGCTGAAGTCGAAGCTTGGAGAAGGCAGGTAGGGACGGAGAGAAGAGGAGGTCCTCAGCAGGAGCAGTAGGAGCGTGGGGAAAGCCTGCGGTATGCTGGACACTGCGAGGAAAGCCACTAGGCTGCAATGGAGAATGCTCAGCCACTTACTGAGCTCTGTCATGTGCTGGGCACAGTTTCAGACATGTGAGATAGACTGGAGAGCGGAACATGTCCTCACAGACCTGACATTCCGGCTGAGCAAATACACACATCAGATAACCGCAGCTGCTCACGGGCATGTGTGCTGCGAACATGTGCAGATTTGCACTGTGCAGAGAGGGCGGTCAAGGGAGAAAATCTCCGAAGACGTATGGGGAGTCCATGAGACTTCGGTAACAGAAGGGCAGTGAACCATAAAGATATGACGGGTCTACAATAAGTCTATGGAAATACAGACTACAGAAAACAAAGCATGGATTCCAAAATGTTTTGTACCTAAATAAACGTGTACTTTAATTGTTTCTCCATGAACTTTCTGAAGTCCCATCACTCCGGAAGACATCATTCCAGGAGAGGGAACTGTAAGTACAAATACCAGAGGGGGATCTCATTCAGCTTTCTGAGCAGTCACAAGAAGGCCATGTGGCTTGAGAAAGAGAACAAAAAGGACAGAAAGAAATGTCAGAAGGCAGCCGGCGGCCAGCATGCGTGCCTCTAAAGACCGTCATACAAACTTGGGATTATGTTCTGAGTGAGACGAGAAGCCGCCTAAGAGTTCTGAATAGTGGAGTGAAACTATCTGACTTACATTTAAAAATGACCGCTCTTTAGGGCTGACCCTGCAGTGTAGTGATAAGGGAGCTGGATTCCACACGGCCAAATGCAGTTCAAGTCCCGGATCTGCTAGCTTGAAACCATGGTGGGCACACGTGTGTGTGTGCCCAGAATCCTGATGAAGAAATGGAGGAGAAGGAATTGTGCCAATGCGGGGTGCTTCTCTCTCTGTCATTAAAAACAAATTGTTCTTTTGCTGCTATGTTGAATCAAAACGATAACTGAGTAAAAGGCAAAAGCAAGAAAAATAATCAGAAAGAAATTTTAACGATCTAGGCAAGAGATGGTGGTGGCTTGGAGTAGGGTGGCAGTGGCTGAGCTTAAGGTCCAAATGGAATTCAGACAGATGTGAGACATGGCAGAGGGAAGGAGGAGGTCAAGGGTGATTCCTAAGGGTTCTGATCTGAACACGTGGGAAGAGGGAACTGCCATGAATGGACTTGGGAAAGATTCTAGAGGCCAAGGTGGAGGAAACAGCAAGAGTTTAATTTAGGAGGTACTTAGGTTTACGAGCCTATTATACATCCAAGTGATGAAGGCAAGCAGGCTATGGGATATATGAGCCTGTAGCCCAGAGAAAAGTCTGAAGCTGGGAATAAAAAGTTCAGAAGATATCTGCGTGGGGGCCAGCTGGTGGTTAACATGACTGGATCCCACATGGTCAGCTGCACAGTCTGAGTCTTGGACACAGCAGCTTTACGAAAAACATGCCAGGAGCATGTGTACATGCACTGAGAATCCCAAATGGAGAAATGGAGACAGGACTGAGGCGTGACCATCCCCCGTGGGGGTGCTTTCTCACTTTCCCTCTTTTTCTTTCTTTAGCAAGCACACATACCCTCTGGCAAAAAAAAATTTTAATTAAAATTTTGTAAGATTTATCATTTAAAAAAAAATTTTTTTTTTTTTTTGGAGAGGTTTTTCGCTATAGGGTGCGTGCACTCACCAGACAGACAGACAGAGAGAGAGAGACAGAAAGCGAGAAATCACCCCCCAGGGGGGATGGTCACGCCGCAATCCCTTCTCCTCCATTCTCCTCTCGGGATCTTGGGCATGCACACACACGCGCCCGGCGTGAGTGCTAAGCCACCGGGTCCGGGACGTGAACCGCAGTCGACTATGTGGGAGTCCAGCGACAAAGCCATTACACTAACTGCTGGTTCCCTCATTTAAATTTTTTTTAAACTTCATCAGAGAGAAGCAGAGAGACAGAAAATGAGAAAGCAAGCCACCAGTTCTGGGACTCGAAACGTTGTTGATGTGGGAGCCCAGTGCCCCAACCACCATGCCACCTGCTGGCCCCTAAATTAAATTTTTAAAAATCAGTGAATGAATGGTATTTAAATCTCTTTGGATGAGATCACCTAGAACAGGAACTGACAAACTTTTTCTATGAAGGGTGGAATAGTATCTTCAGCTCTGTTGGTCATACAGTCTCTACTGTGACGATTCAAATTTTGCTTTTATAGTCCAAAAGTAGCCATAGATAATACAATATATAAATGAATAAGCATGAATTTGCCCTGACTCCTGCTCTAGAAAGTTGGTACACATAAAAAAAGAAGGGCCTGGGGGCTGACAAGTGGTGTGGTGGTTAGGGGTGCTGGACTCCCACATCGCCAACAGCAGTTCGAGTCCTGGACCTGGTGGCTTGCTTTCTTGCTTTCTCACTTTCTCTCTCTCACTCTGTCCTTCTCTGGCCTAATTAAAATAAATAAGTAAATAAAGTTAAACAAAGTAAT